TTTTTCGTCTGTCCCGTTTGGCTCTTTTGCATCAGAATTATTGTCTAAAGGCGAAGAAAGATGCCCAACGGATTTACTTTACCAAATGGACCATCTCAGCCTTGCTGTAATGGTCCATTTGATTCACCTTTTATTGTTTATTTTATTTTCACTTGCTAAATACAGGAGAAAGAAAGAGGGAAAGAAAAACAGCAGGGAAGAGGGACGGTGATAAAGGGCAAAAAACAACAAAATAAGCAGACAAAAAATCCATCTATCAATCACCTGGATCAAAGGGATAACAAGTTAATGTTTCAACTGATCGTGAGCTTTTTTGTGCTCATGATGGTCCATGACACTCTGGTCTGACTGTCTGCAGGGCCCCGTCTCCTCCTACTTTGTGCATCGGTACGGTTTCTCTGAGAGCTGCAGTGTGGTGGCGTTCACTGGAGACAACCCAGGTACATGTGAGATTATTGATGGTTAATCATTAGATTTGTTCCCCAACATCATGAAGTGTGACTGTTTAAACACAAACATCAGGCCTGTTTAAAGGAATCCTGCAAACCTTGATCTCAGTGAGGTGAGATGAACTTTATTTATCCTGAATGAGACAATAAACACAAGCTTTAACGAAACAGCTGAAATATGTTATAGAATAAATATGAAGTTAAACTAACAACCAGGATTTAATGAGACATGTAAACATGTTATCGATGCTGATGTGGACCTGTAGTCACACAGGTCCACATCAGCACTACATGACAACAATATGAAAATTAACATGAAATTAAAGAGAAATCTAAAGTATGTAAAACAAATAAGCATAAATAAAAGTTCTACTAATATGAGAAATTCAATAAAATATTAAATTAATAACAAAATAGAATAAAATAACATCATTAAACACTATTTTTATAAAGTGATATAAAAATAATGAATTGAAAACAATAAATAAATAAAATTAAAAAGTGCTAAAACAGAGACGTGAGTCAAATAAACTGAACGTGAAAAACGTTTGAATCAAACCTGTTTCTGTTTCAGCGTCGCTGGCAGGAATGAGGCTGCAGCCCGGAGACGTCGCCGTGAGTCTGACTCTGACACACTTCCTGTCATCACGCCGGGTTACTGTGGCTGTTAATGTGTGTGTGTGTGTGTGTGTGTGTGT